GGGAAAATGGAGAGAGCTCTGGAAAGCCGCGGCGATCCGGCGGGGGGGGGCGGATTGAATCACATTTGCTGACGTGCCTTTGCACGGAGACGTCACCACGAATCAGATTAGCGCTATCGGGACATCGAGAACACCGCAATCGAGTTTGGAGGGGAAAATAGCTCCTTATTAGCCTTAACTGATGTATCAAACCGCGCTAAGTGGCACGCATCCATAAACAGGCTTAGGGTTATGCACACTGCCGCTAAAGACTCCCACAGGCACCATTTATGCGGCTTAACATAGTGTATCAATGCCCCGCCTCTCGCCCAATGGCGGCTGGCCCCTAAAGACCCTACATAGAACCCCCTGAAAGCGCCTGCTCATCTCTACATGAAACCATGAGGATCAGCCCTCCACCGAAGCAGTTTGGTGACACCTAGACGCCAGGCAAACGGCTCAAAATGACTTTTTTTTGTGTGCTGATTCTAATAAATCTCCTGTTTTATGGGCCGGATGTGCAGCACTTTCCAAGACCTGGATCGTCTCCTGGATCCGGAGCATTCCCAGCACAGGTCCAGCCTTTTTGATCGCCCCAACCCATACAATATCTCCAATCACACAGAAACAATTGACCTTTTCCCGCTTTTTTCCCAAACCCAAAAATTGCAGTGATGCCTTTTTGATCCCCCCAACCCATCTGCCAATGGTCGGTCAGTAGGTCGGTAGGTAGGTCAGTAGGTAGTTAGGTAGGTAGGTTGGTAGGTATGTAGGTATGTAGGTAAGTATGTAGGTAGGTCGGTCGGTAGGTAGGTAGGTAGGTGGGTAGGTCAGTAGGTATGTGGGTAGGTCAGTGGGTATGTGGGTAGGTCAGTGGGTAGGTAGGTAGGTGGGTAGGTAGGTGGGTAGGTAGGTAGGTAGGTCAGTAGCTAGGTAGGTAGGAAGGTAGGTAGGTAGATGGGTAGGTCAGTAGCTAGGTAGGTAGGTAGGTAGGTTGGTGGGTAGGTAGGTAGGTAGGTAGGTAGGTAGGTAGGTAGGTAGGTAGGTAGGTAGGTAGGTAGGTAGGTAGGTAGGTAGAACAGTAGGTAGGTAGGTAGGTAGGGAGGTAGGTAGGTAGATCTGAAATCTTTTTCTCCACCAGCATAAAACAACAAGACCAATTCAGCCAGTCTTCACCAAAATGAGTCGAGTTCAAAGAAACCCTTCAACAAATTTCTGAGCAGTTTGACATTTTCTGGAA